AGCATGGCATGATCATACATTCCATAGTCTCGGAACAAGACACACTTGCCTGGTTTTAATACCTGTCACATAATACATACATGCTGTAAGAAAACGTTTGCAATATATTAAGAAATAAATAAGGAACAATTTCAATAAAATGGATTGTGGATTTTTGTTGTTTTGCGGTTTTTTTATTTGGTCTTTATCAAAGGAAACAGGCCATAAAGAGTTTAAAACTTAGAAATACATGGTCATTGGCCATGCTGATTTTAGATATTTGATGCATGCAACTTTCCTACATGACATGCTGTCATCAAATACCAGCTGTATTTATTAGAGGAGGAAAGGAGTACTTGCCACTTGCCAATTTGTGCAGAAACCCGCAAGTGACTTAAATGATCCAGGCATCTCCACAGAGAAAATAATAATTAGCCTTTTCATAAGCATGAGCTAAGAATCAATCCTGCTTTTGGAAAACAGCTGGAAATATACCAAAAAACCCTAACATTCCCTCTTCAGACTATTGATAATAAAACAAACAATATCAGATAACATAAAACTTATACATATATGCATAAGTACAAAATATATTGACTGTTTCCCTCTGCAGTCAATATATGACATCTCAGAAAAATCAGAACAATCACTATTCATATTATTTAAACCACTCTTTGGACGGGCCTATCCTAGTCTGTCAACTAACAAAGGCAGCCTACGGAGATGAGTCGCTCTAGATTAATGTTTACCTCTGAACACTCCGATTTTAAATCAGCAGAGATCAAGTGTGTTTATTAATAACAACAACATCCTAACTCCAACTCACTGTATCCCTGGAAGTCAATTTTGACTCACTATCATTCACACCTTATCAACACAGACATCTCTGCAATCTATAAACATTATTTGTAGCATGCAACCCAAGTCACAGCTTTAAAATCGTCAAATCATAGAATGGCCTGGGTTGGAAAGGACCGGAAAGATCACCTAGTTCCAACCCCACTGCCATGGGCAGGGACACCTTCCACTAGACCAGGTTGTTCAGAGCCCCATCCAGCCTGGTCTTGAATACTTGCAGGGATTGGGCATCCACGACTTCTCTGGGAACCTGTCCCAGTGCCTCACCAACCCCACAGTAAAGAAATTCTTCCTAATATTTAATCTAAACCTACTCTCTTTCAGTTTGAAGCCATTCCCCCTTGTCCTCTCACTACATGCTCTTGTAAAAACTCTCTCTCCATCTTTCCTGTAGGCGCCATTCAGATACTAGAAGGCTGCCTTTTA